ACTGCACAAAATTGATAGACAATCCCCTAAGAGATAAGTAAAGTAGTGGACATAAGTATGATTAGATAAAAAGATTAACTCATGATTTCTTAAACAAGTTTTTTCACATGTTTTTCACTACATTTGAATAGTTTTCAATCACATGAATATTTAGTTTATAATAATTTTGCAAAAACACGTGCTTTTCTAAATTATTGCCATAAGTGTTGAGTGTATTAATGGTGTTGTGATTGGAAAGCATTTTATCACTTATTTTACATGAATTCAAATCAATTGAATCGTAATCCATTTTAATTATAGTTTTATAGTGACATTTAGGCCAAAAATAGTGTTTATTGTGTTATGTGTTGAGTGTATTAATGGTGCTGTGATTGGAAAGCATTTTATCACTTATTTTATTTGAATGTTTAATTGATTCTAAAATCAGTTTTTTATATCGAGTTTTGAAGTGACATTTAGACTAAAAACATTTGAAATTGTGTTGTGTTGTGTTTTTATTGGAAAGCATTTTATCACTTATTTTATCATTTATTTTACGTGCATTCAAATCATTTAAATTATGGAGTTTAATCCAAATAAAATAAAGCCATCTAATAAAGACAATATTAATGACATTAAATTGAATAAAATGAGAGAGATCTGCAAAAGTGATGACAATAATTTTTATTAATGATAATAATGTATTAGTCTGCAAACCATGTAATAAGTATTTTATTAATTTTAATAAACAATCTGGATGAACACAAATTTACTGCCAAACATAAAGACAATTTGACAAAATCTAATAAACGGAAATCAACAGAAAATCTGTTTACTATTAAGAAAGACAGTCCGGATTTCTTTACACAGTTTTTCTTTAGTTTGACATTTGCTTTTATGAAAGCAGACATCCTATTGAATAAGTTAAACAATCAGTATTTAAAGGAGTTTTTGTCAAAATATACTGATTGCCCTATTCCAAACCCGCAAACCCTAAGAGACAAATACGTCCCAATGGTATGTGAAAAACATTTCAAAGAAATTAAAGAAGAGATTGGAACCAATAAAGTTGGTTTATTTATTGACAAGACATCAGTATGTCAACAAGCTGTCTTTAATTGTCTTGTAAAATACTCAACAATTGCAAAACTAAATCATATTTAATATCAACCCAAATTCTGAAAGCATCAGATTGAGAGGCCATATAAAATCTTCGCCATAATCGTGTTTACTCGTATTAAATTAAAAAATACTTAGAATAAAGCTAGATTAAAACAAAATTTTTTGCAACTATGGTTTTATTGCACAAACACACTGATGTGACGACTTTTACTCAATTCTCAAAGCACCGGTAGGGAACGGTAGTTTTTGAAAATCTTAAATTACTTAAAAAGTATATAACATTTTTAAGTTTTGATTTTTGGATTTGTTACACATTGTCAATACCAAAAAAGTAAATTCTGGATTTTGCAAAATTTCGCCTTGTTAATTTTTAAATACATTTTTACATTTTAAATTTGTAAATTTAAAATCCATGTATCTTAGCATTGGATCAGTGTATCAGGATAATTCCAAATTGGTTGTAAAGCTCTTTCAAAATCCTAAAAATAGTTTGCTTGCACCAGTACTGTAATAATTACGCCTTACGTTTAAATCAAGGTATAAATATTTTCTATGTA